AGCTTTGTTTAAAGGATTTAGTTTGTGAATATTGTAAATACTGTATATTCCCATGTCAATAAATACATTTAAACACACTTTACTGATGTGTTTTTTTTCATGTGTACAGATAATGTATGATTTTCTTTGTAAGATGGAAGATATGTATGATAATGTACCTTTGGCCCAGTCATTCCTTGCTTCCCCCTTAGGCCAGGCCAACCAGGTGGGCCCTAGGAAAAGCAAATTGCTTATATTATTGTGTGGAATAACCCCTTCTCATTAACTTCATCCATCTCTAGACGTCACATCTTTCACTATCCTTCAGCGTGGAACTACATGAATCTTCACAGCTAAACATGTCAATACTCCACCTGGGATTGTAAAGGAATCGCGCCTTGGGACCCCTGATGAGTGATGTCACCATAACTCTGTCATTTGTCACTACAGTATGTGCAACCTTTTACAGTGCTCTATCACCTGACCAAAAGAGTTACTTCCAGTTTTAGGTTTGTAGTAAAAGCGCTATTTGAAATATTCATTCAAGAACATTTTCTGTTTCGAATTTTTATATGTGCGACTCTAATTAGAATTAGAGTTTGTTTTCTAAAAATCAGTACCAAGTGAAATGTGTTGGATTTTGATGCACACAGAGCTTATCTGAGATGTTGTTGTACTGCTGTGGATTTAAGGAAGCACACTCACCCTCTTCCCTCGCAGTCCAGGTAGTCCTGGGCGTCCCCTCGGACCAACGTCACCCTGGAAAACAAAACCCCTAAGGTACTGAATCCTCACACTCTCTTCTCCCTTGTACTGTCAAGACAGCACTGTAGTAGCATAACAGACACAAAATACTATTAAGTCATTCCAATCGGACTTTGCCAAAATAAGCATTTTGTCTAAAAGGCACTGAAAAGTTCTTGGGTAATTCTTTCTGTAGTTTCTGCCAAAGGTGCTTCCACCAAATATTCAGTTCACAGGTCTTAACACTTTACAATCAATGTATGTTTTTCTCTCTAGATTTTACTATACTGAAAATGATCTCACCATTAAAAGTCTTCAGTTTTAGGCATTCAGATTTTGAATACAATGTTAAGTATAAGAATGACCATGCATGCTTTTTTAAGAATTTCACCATAGGACAGGTCTGAATACTTTTGCAAGGCACTGTATACTGTGTACTGTATACCTCCTACATATAGATAAGTTCAGATCAGCCACACAAGTGGTGCAGTTTTCCTATTTATTTCTTGTAAGCCTAGTTACTTGACTTTTAAGGGTCTCATTGCGACCTATTGAAAGATTAATCAATTTCCTTTAATTTTCGAATGGAAATTCCTTTTGTTTTCATATCCAACTTTAATGTGCACAAACAAGTGCACTATGTACTGAACTAAGCTAATTTGTGCTAAATTATTCACTCATTATTGACCTTGATTAACTGTATCTGAAGAAGATTCTCAGGTCGACTTCTGCAATGTAATGGCACTTGTAATAGGAACAGGGAAGAGTAGGGAGGGATTAATCAAGACATCAAAAGGCCCCAGTGAGTTCTCGAGTGACAGCTAGAGGAACCCACTCTCTACATATTGTTTAGTGTCAGACATGGCAGTGATCAGAGAAGAATCTTACCGGATCCCCTTCATTCCCTACAACACCCAGGAGTCCATCCAAACCGCTTGGGCCCTAATGCATAGACACAAGATAGATGCAGGACACTGATGAAATGTGTATTCAGCTGCTTTTTTGATGTGTGAATGTGATATTCAAAGTGTAGCAGATTCGGCTCCTACCTAGTGCTTCCCAGACAGCACAGACAGTACCTTGTATCTCATCTCACCATTTACAATTCAAGCCATAAGTTGCTTCAGTCAGACCAAATGCATTTATTTTCCATATAAAGTGAGGTTCTGGAAGTGGCTGAGATGTTGTACAACAGGAATGAGAGTGATGTGCTCTCGCTCTGCCTCTTATGGACCTCAGTGCTCACCTGTTTCCCAGGGGGTCCAGCAGGGCCTCGTTTTCCCCGTGGGCCTTGGGCACCCTGCAACCACCAAGACAACTCTCAGAACGTGACCACGCAAGCCAGTTAGCTGGTGTTTTAAATCGAGAAATGATTATTTCAGGATCTGGTTTGCTTCGACTCTGTGATAAGATTTGTGCCTTGTAAAGGTGATTGAGCAGTACCAGGACCTCCTCAGATGAGGTGTGTCAGTTATTATCAGAGCAGCACTGGGAGAACCTGTGACCGACATGCCTGATATGCTGCTGTGAAGCTCATGGATTGGCTTTCCTGGGCTCTGATAGAGATACCGACACGAGTCACTGTAAACTTACTGGCTTGCCAGGCAACCCTCTGTTGCCCCTTTTTCCAGGAGGTCCTTTCACTCCCTGAGCATAAGAAGAAGCAAGACCACAGGTTAATCTACACACTGCAAAACACTTTTGAATAACATCATAAACATGGCTGCACACAACAGAGCAATCACTCCCTCTCTCACTGCTAGGCCACCAGATGGAGATCTGAAGCAGCTCTTGGTGATAACGCTGATAGCTTAATGAAGCCTAACAAGCCGAGTTGCCGTTTCATGGTAATCTGAATAAATCCTCGTCTACATCCAATTCGATCACCTCTGATGGTGCTCTGCTAGTTCTGTGGTACCCCTGAGTTACCCCATGGCTTGGGCTTTACTGATTGGACTGGTTGAATAATCTCTGGCAGGACATTGTGTCCAGTCACAGCATATCGACTTTGTGGTGCCTCTTACGCCTTACCTTGTGGCCTGGTCTCCCCTTGCTGCTCTTGTCTCCTGGGGGCCCCTGAGGTCCATGGGTCCCCTTGGGCCCTGGTGCTCCCCGGTGTCCTCTGAGCCCAGCTGAACCCTGTGCAGAGACGTGAACAAAGAAAGCATCAGTACACCATTAGCAAAGTGTTGCCTGGGTACAGCAGACACAACAAAAACACATAAAGAGGAACTATATTTCAGGTGATAAAGATTATTTATGATGGTATTTCTCAGATCGCTGGATGTCTCATGGAGAAACACATTGTTTTGTGATTTCTAGAGAAGAAGAGGAACAACATGTTAAAATGTTGTTTGTGTAATCAAAGGATATGAATTGGAAGCAAATATTTATCATACTGAAGTAAAAGTATATGTTAGTGAATAAATACATTATATTTATGCATATAATAACTATGTAAAAATAAGTAGATGATAACTAAATTTTTCTTTTTTATATAAAAAACATGCCTGTAAAATTTAATAAATAAAAGCAGTGAGCTATGTGTTCTATGTTATGTAGAGGTGGAAGTATTATGTTACATCATGATGACGACAATCTTTTTTTTACTCAAGTTTTTAAATCTTAAATGACTTTTTTAATCAAAAAACTTGTTTGGAATTACGGGTTTTACAGCAACAATGTAGTTTTTACCATTTTGACCTTTCCAGTTTACAACATGGCAACTTGTCTGCAACCTTTTATTGTGAAATGACTCATATGCATCTACTGTCGTGAACCAGATTAAAAAGTTACGTTTATCAGATTTTGACAGGAATGTCTCCAGCAACCAGAGTAAATACTGTCTCTGTGGGGTATATCTGTGAAGTAGAGGAGATGATGACGTGCAGTTCTGCAGTGTCAGTTCTGCAGTGTGTGTCACTTTGTAAGTTAGCTGTGTTGTCAGACACTGAGTCATTTGCAGTGTTATGGAGGTACAGACCATTCTGCCCTTTGCACCCATTTCTCCATTTATTCCTTTAGCACCTTTGGGTCCCTATGAAAAAGGCAAAACAGAAAATTAGTCATAATCATAATTAACTAATTTGAATTAAAAAGGAAAATACTGTGATGCAAGAGATATATTAGCATTGATATACATTGTACTAGGCTGTTATTCAAGAGATTGCGTTTAGCATCTGCTGCTCTGATTTGATCAGATTTAAGTGTACTATGAAGAAACACACAAAGAATTTTAAACTATGCCTGTGTGAAAGATCACAGTTTGCTGTGAGAGTGGAAACTTTGCTTGTACTGTATGTGTGTTATTTCATGAAGCCTAAGTTGTCTTACCCACAATCCATTGTTGAGTGAGCTTCAAAAGATGTTAGATATTCTATGTTATGGCTTCCTGACCTATGTTTATCCATTAATCTGATCATTTTACTAGTTGTTCATATAATAAGTTTTTTGTGTTGTTCTAAAACATAAATATACAATGACACAATAACAGTGATATACTTCTAACAATTGTTCCTGCTGTGTGTCTGCTGTTTCACCTTGAGTGAGGTACTTTACCCCATGTGATTTCAGTCCACCTTGCTGTATAAATGAGGGCTAGTACTGCTGGGAGTAATTTATGCAATGAACCAGCATCCTGTAAAGGGGGAAATGTCATATGCTCTCACAGAGCACAGGATAGCTGCTGTGGCTCTGATATGAAAATTACCTACTTCTCACAATCATCAAATTCTGTCAAAAGCAGTGCAGAATCCATACCACTTGTCCCTTGTTTCCACGGATTCCAGGCTTTCCAAGTTCTCCATAATCCCCCTTTGATACAAATGCACAAAAACAGGAACAAATAATCTTTAAACAGTACACTTATCTTAATTCATTAAATGGATAAACAGAAAATCAAAGGCAGTCATACAGTAAACCCATGTTACTTAGTATTTAAACAGAAATATAATGTATTGCTTATAATAAAATGATAGCTGAAATATAGATGATCTTGTTCCATGAATGTCAATTATCTCCCCCTAAGCAGGCATATCATCTGAGAGGAATATTCTGGCCTCATGCTCATTGAGGTGTGTACTGCTTGTGAATTGTGTTACAACTGAGAATTGTGCGTGATATGAACTTGTGTTTTTTTAACACGGGTTATAAAAAGCCATGCCTTTTCCTGCTCTTAGCTGGGAACATGAGACAAGCATCCAAACGCTAAAATATGGAAAAGGCTTGAGATTAAAATAGCAAAATTCCCCATCAATCCTGTAGAATGTGGACTCAAACATAAAATAATTCAATATACCTTTGGTCCAGGAGGTCCATTCTCTCCAACAAACCCCCTCTGCCCTGGCAGACCCTGTTGGGAGAAAATATTTACCCATTTAGTTACCTACGTATACTAAAGTACTAAGTATAGTATATAATATCTTTAAGTAACCACTTTCTTGTGGACCGAAGAAAGACATCACAACTTGACATCCTGCATATTGCTCTGGTTTAGACATCCAGACAGGCACAACCAGCTTAGATGTCTGCAGAGGTGTCATTTTCTGCAGTGACACACATTACATCCAAGCACATTTTTCAATGTATTGTACGCATGGGGCCTCACTGTCATTTACAGCATCCAGTCAGATTGTGGTGCTATGTTTGAGAAAGAGTTAACCAAATTCCACAAATCTGTAATGGGAAACCTCAGATGCTTCTCATTCAATCGAAACATCAAATTGGTGTTAGTAAAGGAAAACGTTTACTTTTAAAAGAAATACAATTCAGTTTTAAAATGTCCATGATAAACAGTGACTCACTCTTGCCCCTTTGGAACCCCTTGGGCCTGTCATCCCAAGCCTTCCAGCTGCCCCCTACAGCAAAAGGCAAGAGAAAAAAAGAGTCCGAAAATTGAACGAACAGAGAAAATGGATTGTACTCTGTAAACAACATGCAGAACTTAAAGGAAATGTTTATATCGGCACATAAATTTTGTGAATGATGTAGGATTCTTGTTTGTTGTTTACACCGGGATAGTTATCTGCCATTGGGCAATTATTAACTTCACTTCTGAATGAGCAATTGTGGTTTAATTGTTTTACATTAATGATCTGTCTGGCTGCTTAACTGCGGGACGAGCCAGCTGTGGTGCGGCAGGTGTCCATCAACCTGTCTCCCTTGTCCATGCCGCAGTAAACTGATCACCTGGAGACTCTGAGTCTTCAGGTGATTCCAAGTCAATAATATATTTATTATTCAGAACAAATACTCATACCTGACAGAGCTCGGGCCTCTGTCATTGAGTTTGGACACTGCCCCTCGAGCCCCTGTCCCCTCTCAGCTTTGTTAACTGTTTTGTTTTGGACTTCCATCCTGGCTTGGAACTTGGACTGAACTCTCAACCCATCTCCCGGTTCCTCCTTGGCATTCTGCTACTGCGTCACTCTTTGCATTATTTGGATTTTGAAATTGTAAATTGCCAACACAAAATGCTAACACAAATACTTTAACATTGAGTTCAAGTTGTGTTATCTTGTAATCCTAGTATAACATGACATATCATGTAATCAGTAATAATAATTTCTTACACTTATGTAGTGCTTTTCTGGACACTCCACATAAAGCACTTTACAGGTAATAGGGACTCCCCTTCACCACCACTATGTGTAGCCCCCCCGGATGATGTGATGGAAACCGTAGTGCACCAGTACACTCACCACACACCCCATATCAGTGGGGAGGAGAACACAGTGATGATGCCAAGATGGAGATTATTAGGAGGCCATGATTGGTATAGGTCAGGGGGAAATGTGGCCACAATCCTGGGTTACACCCCTACTCTTTTTCAGAAATGCCCTGGGACCACGGAGAGGCAGCCCCTAAGTTTTACATCTCATCTAAAGGATGGTGCCTTTTTTACAGTATAGTGTCCCTGTCATTATACTGGGGCATTAGGACCCACACAGACTGTAGTGAACACCCCCTACTGGTTCCAGCAACACCTCTTCCAGCAACAACCTTAGCTTTTCCTCAGGAGGTCTCCCATCCAGGTACTGGCCAGGCTCACACCTGCTTAGCTTTAGTGGGTTACTAGTTGTTGCAGTATCAAAAAAGCTGCTAGAAGCTGACATAGCTGACCCATAAGTAACAGCAAATGCTTCCTTGCCTTGCTTTTTCAACCATCTTTCAATGTGCAGTAAGCAGATATTTTTAATGCCTTAATAGCCTTCCAGAACTGAGAACAACCAAAACAAGTTCGGGATTACTTTACGTTGCAGAAATCTGTAACTGAATCTGTGCATTAAATTGACTTTTTAGTTAAAAAAATGAATGAACTAAGAACTCATGACAGAAAAAAGCCAAAGATATTATTGGAGTTTGTCAAGAATTTTTCCTTCTTCTTCTTTGTTCAAGAATCAGAAAGGGACAGGACAAGAACAACATGTTGTCTTCTAAATGATTTACATGGTTTCCTTTTTTGTGCTCCTCTTACTTTTGACAGGAGAACTGATGCTTCTCCTACTGCTAACATCACTTGACATGTTATTGGAGGAGTAGTTCAATCAAGTACTGTAGCTGTGTCAGCATGCGTAGGCTGCAAAGGAACAAATAAAGGTTGAGAGACACAACGTTTCAGCTGTTGAGCCTTCTTAGGGTGAAGAAGAAGGCCTTTGAAGAAGGCTCCACAGCCGAAATGTTTTGTCTCTTTTCTTCTTTTTACAGCATGTTATGGGGGGGGGGGGGTTGTGCAGCACATTGAGGGTATTCTGGCCGATTATACCCACCATAATACGGGAAACAACTGGACCAAGTAGATCCACAACCTTGGAAAATCCCAGTTGCTGTGGGCTAATCACATAATACGGATATAACAGTAGAGCTATACATTAATTCTGAACAAACGCCTTGATTGCTTAAGTAAAAACAAGATAGTACTTAAGTACAATTGCAGAAAACTAAAAACAAGATAGCACTTAAGTGCAATGGCAGAAAACTAAAAACATAAGGTTTAAAATGTAAAAGATTACAAAATATATTAAGAAAGCTACAGAGAATGGGTTAACATAAAGTGAACACTTACAGTATGATACTTAAATCGTAAGTGCTCACTTTACACAAAACTACACAGGTGTTTTATTGGATGAGTATGACAGACATGTATAATATATCCATGTTCTCCAAAAGTATTTGGAGAATTAATTGTAAGATGGGATTTTCACAATGATGAATTATACTTACTATTCCACATGGAAAAATGACTCATAATTATAACATCTAATTACTCCAGTCTACCCTATTGAATGGGAACTCTAGGATCAAATGAGATGCCATAGAAGCAAGGATAATTGCTTAGCTATGACAAGCAGTATTAACAACGTATGGGCTTGAGAGATCGTGACCGTAAAGTATACTCTGTCTGCTGAAATGGTATCTTTCTAAAAAAAATCAGCAAACTGTAAAGGGAGATCTCTTCACTTTCAATCTCACAATTTCTTCTCAAAGCTGTCATGTCAGCTGGAGCCCTGAAGTAAAGTGATGTCATTTGTGCAGGGGGCCGGTTAGTCTGAGAGTTATGTTTAATTATTAAACTAGGTGTCACGGACGTCCAAAGGGACTAACCGTGGGGAGCAGGAGAGCGGTAAAAGACCCATATGCGTAGCGGCGAGACGGGAAAAAGGCCCGGGCTCATAGTGCAAAGAGTTCAGGAATGCCGTATAGAAACCTATGCCCTCAGGGAGCGGACGTGGGGCGCCCTGGTGCTAGGCGGGTCTCAGGACATCCGAACGTCAATGCTGAGCCAGGACAGAGTGCAAGACCCGGAAATATATAGCCCAAGGAAGAGAGGGACAGGAAGGACAGCAGACCGGAAACTAGGGACAGGACAGAGAAGGAGCGCCCTCTGGCTGCAGAGGGCGTGATACTAGGAAGCTGAAGCAGGTGATTATAGATGTGATTGACAGCTGAGACTCAGGTTACTCCTTGCACCACCATCAAATTCCTGCCTACCTATTTCCGGCACATTCTTCTAGGTTGTGTGTGCTATTTTTCAGGTTCCATACATATCCATATGCTTTATTTTCCTGTTTTTTGCACTTCTGGGCAATTCTATTAAACATAGTTAACTAAGTAAACTGCAGACGTTTGATGACAGAAAAATGATCAGAGCTATCAAGGGTAAACAACTGTCAGTGAAATCACCCACAACCTCCAGAGTGTAGGGGTGAAAGTATGAAAATTCATATATTACAATATAAATGTTATATTAGACTTATTATATACATCTGAACAGACTTACAAAGGTTACATGGGATGATATAAACTCTTATTAGCACAAAGAATAGAATAATTAACTTTGAATTTTCCTCAAAGATGAGCTAGGACAGTTTTGAAACAATTTTTGGACAGATGAAACAAAGGTAAACCTTTACTGGGCACGCAGGGCTGGCTCTGTAACTGACTTATTTTTACTGATGATGATGATGATGATGATGGCAGCAGCTAAATATATACTGATATTTGCAGAAACATTTTGCTTCTGCCGAATAAAATGCTTTTGGAGCGATACTTCAACATGTACTGTAACATAACAATGAACCAAAACATATGGGCAACCAAGGGTGTTCATCAGAAGAATGAAGTGGAAAATCTTAAAACAAGTCAAAATCTAAATTTAAATCCAATTCAGCATGAATTTTAAAAAATTAAAACCAGGGCACCCCAGAATAGGCACGAACTAAAAGTGGCTATGGCAAAGGTGTGGCAAAGTGTCCCAAATGGTTACACAAAGAGTTTGGTAAGCTCAGTGGGTCACAGACTTCATGCAGGTGTTGGCTCATGAAGATGCAACCAGATACTGATTTTGCTGTCCCAATACTTACATACAGTAGGGCACTTGACTTCTGTCTCACCCATTCAGCCTTAAAAAGGTTTTTAGAAGTCTTTTAGTTGGTCAAATCTTTGCATCTACAACAGCCTGGGATGCATCAGAAAACTAACATTATTGTATGTGTCAAGAATTTAAATAATTTGCAATAGTTGCAATTCTAAGTGTTTGTCCTCTAGTTAAAAATACACTGTTTTCAGTGTCTTTTTCTGTTCTGTGTTTTCTATTGCTGCTGTACTCACGGTTACTCCTGGAAAGCCTTTCTCTCCCTTGGAACCATCTTTTCCTGTATTTCCTACTGGGCCATAACCCCCCGGTCTGCCTGAAGGACCACGAAGACCAGAACTGCCCTGCAGTGAGAGAGAACCACTTCACTTTACACAGCAGCCGCTAGTTAAGTGAGCCTAGAGCTGGACTACGAGGAAAGGCTATTTAAGTTAGGAGTTTGCAGTACACTGTGTCATTTGTTAATTCAGTTTTCATGTGTGTCAGCAGTTTACAATTCCGGTGTATGTGGCCATGCACAGTAGCTTATCAAACATTATCGAAGTTAATAAAATGTATACATCCCATGTATACAAATTTATACTTTCAAGCTTTTATCATGCACAATTTCTGCAGCACACACTTTCAAATTCTGCAGAATTGTTTGGTCAAATTCTTCAAGGCAGGACATTTGCAAATGTCTAGAATGGTTTCATCCTTTTTCCTTTGGGAAATCGTAAGGGTTTTGCAAGTTTGAAAAGTGGAAATTTACATATAGAAAAATCACTTGTTTCTCCTTTTTGTAACATAACAGACAGAAATCAATTTGATCAACAATTAAAGAAAGGTGTTTCCTCCTTCAGATACCTAGGAGGCTATCCTAGGACTTACCTTCTCCCCTGGGAGTCCTTGCTTTCCTCTCTCCCCTGGGACACCACTGTAGCCCTGGAATGAATAGGGCAGTGTCACACCCTGCACACCATTATATTCCCAAATGCACTGTTTCACGATCTCATTCCTAACTGAACCCATCAGATTCTCACAGGCACCAGATTCCACAGATTCTCACTCCTGATCCAATTATCCAACCATGTCACTCTCCCTTCACTATTTAAAGTTCCCTCACACAAACCAAAGCTTGCTCACTCTTGAAAAGCCTCCTTTAGAGTTTTCTAGTGCGCTTTTTTGTCTTGTTGGATTTCCCGGTTATTGGACGTAGCTTTTCCCTTTTGATCTCGTCTCTTGGATTTTGCCCTTTGGATTGTCTTCTTGGTTTGTCTCGGCTCTTTCTGTTAAACTGATCTCTAGCTTCTCCTTTCGACCTTGCTTCTGGATTACAATTTTGTATTGTTTGCCTCTGCATCCCACAGAATTCACGGCTACACACAGGACCCCCGGAGAACTACCTGCCGGATCCCTGACAGGCAGCATAGGGATTCAGTTTGCACATTTGGATCAGGATAAGGTTCTGGAAAGGGGCAAATTCAAATACATTCCATGATTTACCAGTGTATGGAAGTGTTTCTGCATTGGGTCGGGCTACAACAATGGGCAGGCACAGCACAGCATTTGAAACGCTATGGCAAAGATATAACACTACTCAACAAGAACATTTGGGTTTTTTTTAATCGGGAAAATTCTGAATGAAGATATTCAATGTTGATGTAATAGTATTTAAATATGTACTTCATTTTGCACAAGCTGTGTATGTACAGTAACCAGTAAAAGGAATACAGTACAGCTACAGAAATTCTGACTGGAAAGTGGCTGATGATACTTTATGCCATCTTATGATTTCAACCCACCTCTTTCCCTGTGGGACCCCTAAGTCCTGACAGTCCTTGATTACCCACAGGCCCCTGGCTTCCCTTTGTCCCCTTCAGACCAGGCAAACCTCTGCGCCCTTTATCTCCCTGATGAAGGCAAGAGGAATAAAACTAAGGACAAAGCCTTTTTCACTTTAAATGTTGAGGTTTTAGTCGAAGAGTCTGCTTTCTTACTTGTGTAAACAGAGAGAAAGTACCTGTACTATCCTAAATACAAATAAAAGGTCAGCAATGTAATTAGACCATGCCTGATGACAAGCAGGTGTCACTGATAAAGTGCTAGAGGTTTTTGTGGTGCATGACAGAGAATCAAGCAGGAAAACCACCCATCCCAGTAAATGTGGTGCTGTTGTGCTTAATCTGGAACCATTATTGTGTCCCTTGTTCAAAAGTGTAAAAGTTAAAACCACTAAGAAGGGAGACAATGCCTGATTATTTTTGTGTTGCTTAAGAAATTCCATCCAAAATAGTATTATCACTGCATTTCTTTCTGAAAAGAATGGTATATTTTAAATATAATTAAGGAAGAGTATGCAAGTTAAATGGGGTCAGAGGAAATCCCTGTTACCTGGGGCATGCCGTTCTTCAAACTGTGATGTGATACCTCTGGAACTCTTCTACTTGCTTATTGAAATGCTCCTAACCCTTTGGTTTTGAAATAAAATCCAACCTTAATCTGTAATGTCTAATTTCTTATCATATCAGGTTGCTGATACTATCCCTGAACAGCTTACATGTGCAGAATGAGGGCCTGTGCATGCACTCTTCTAAAACATGGATCTGTCACACTCTGTTGTCATTTGCCAGACTTTACAGTACGTTCCACACGATCTACAGCAAAATTAGCAAGGATTAGGGAAGTGCTACTTCTCTCACTGACATTGCTTCAAGCTTGGAGGTGTCTGGGAATTTTTCACAGGAAAATATGTGTAGCATTCATTGCCTTTTTGTATGTTTCAGTTTCATGAACATCTTCCACTGTCTGAAAGTGGTGCCATTGTTTTGGCTGCTTTTGTAAAAGGAACAGACAAGCGGAAACACATACTTACAGCCTGTCCTTTCTGGCCAGCTTGTCCGGATGGCCCTATTAATCCAGGTGGTCCCTAAAACACAACAACATTGATCCTGCGAAGATTTACATTCATACTACCTCTACCAATAATAACACCCTGCTTACATTTCAATGACTGCAGTTATTAATAATAGTTCATTGTTAAATGCACTTTTTCTCCTTCCTAAAATGGAGAGTATTTTTCATTTGGAGATAGAATGAACATAATATTTCTAATGGAGTTTATTTTTCAAAAGAATATGAAGAAATAAAGAACATCAATCTGTATGTGTACATGAGTGTGCTGTACTTACTGTATACATGTAGTGTGTCCAATTTCAAGGTTTGGCAGTCGAGCTTTTCAAGAAAAAAATGTGTTTATATATGTGTAAAGTTTAAGAACACTGCTTTGCACTGAGAGTCCCATCCAAGGGAAAATAAGTTCAAAAGTAAATTTTCATCAAGAAATTGAATTAAATGTTTGCAGGGTAGGTGGTCCTGTGGTTAAGGTAAAGGGCTTGTTACCAGAGGTAACAGAGACCACTTTACTTTCCATTGCGGGAAAGTCATTACCAGAACTGTCTCATTCTTGGCCTAAGCCATAGCTCTATCAATCACTCGATGTCTGTTATCCTAAGAGAGTCACTGAAACCCCTTGTGCTCTGTCTTTTGGAGGAGTTATTACAGTATAATAATTTTTTTGCAGTATAGGTTACAAATTTCTAGTTAAACCCCTGGATGTTGTAAATTGCTTAGTATTAATGCTAACAGTAAATGATTATTAGAACAAACTCTACCATGAGCAGTGCAGACTTAAATAGAATTTTCTGAAGCAAAAACATCTCCCTTGTATCAGCTGCTGGTGTTTCAAAACACACGGAAATCCCGCAGATGCAATATCTCTTCAGTACTAGGATTGTCAATCCTTGGTTAACATCCCCTGGTAACATCTTGCTAGGAACAACAGCCATGTGTACAAACTGCCTGCTGAGTGGAGTTTACAGATTTACCACTTAGGCGCCTCTTTTAAGACAGACACTCTCAATGTAGTTTTAGGAAAGTATAGGACAGTTGGAATGATAATAGTTCCCTTTCTTATGTTTGAAGCCACTGCAATTAAAACATTACCACCATTCAAGATATGGAAGAACATGGACGCAGAAAGTGGGGATTCCACTTGTCAAACCAGCAAAGTCAGTCAAAGTCCAGTATTAATCAACACAAGAATACAAGAAAGACTCGGGGCAAACTGGTTTGCTGTGCTTACAATTCTGCATTGGATCTTAGTATTGTTTGTCAGCTATCCTTAGCTTAAGGATTTTAAGTTATCTTGGAATGGTAGATGTTCACCACTAAAGAGAATAACAGGTAGCTGGCAGCTCTATACTCTGCTGAGTATTCTAGAGGACAGCTTTAAAATGACAATAGAGTTCTGGTACATGTGGATTAGTAGTGTACATTAGTACATACTAGTTAAGGATAGTATGATCAATATACCTCCTCACCATCGAGACCAGCAACTCCCTTCTCTCCTGGAGGCCCATGCATGCCCTACATGGACAACAGAAAAATAGAACAGAAAATAAAATGCAGCTGCTTTATCTTTTTAGACTGATTTGTATAATTAGGATGGATTGTGATAGGGGATATTGTCTCCATTGAATTTGGAAAAAACACATTTTTATACTGTGTTAATCTCAGAAGAGATTTTAAATAATTTTAACCTTTCCTTGTTGTGACAGTAGTGTTGTGAAGCTGTGTTCCAGTTTTCTTTAACTCTGTAAGCGCTCAAGACCTATGTCATACTTGAACAGTAAAACTAATTAAGTACAGTTAATTTACAACACTGACAGCATAGATGACATGGATACTTTTGTGCTTCTCTAGGACTAGACAAGAAGAAGAATCTTTCACAGGTCTTTCATCTAATTGTTTAGGACAGCTTTTAAAATTTATGTTTTAATAAACCTTTTATTTTTGTCTACCACATACCCAGATCTTTCTTTATGTCAACAATGACTCCTGTACTACATAGAGATTTACATTGCAGCATACCAAACCTTATCGGCACATGTATGAATTAAATTAGGATGTTTGCCTCTATTCTGTCTCATGTAACACAGCTGTGTTAGAATCAGCATGGAATTAGAAATGGTTTTGATTAAGAAACTTGTTACTTCTTTGAACATGCAACAGTAGTAATGGATACAAGCAGGACATACAATATGCCATATTTTGATTTTCATTTTTTTTTCACATAAAACACTAATTATTTCATTGAAAGCTATAGATATCACACACATTCAATATACTTGTTAATGTAGAGAAAACAGAGAGTACAGGCACAGACTGAATAATTTCTGGGTATGGGATGCTGCAATTAGTGGAGTATTACAGGGATCAATTCAAGGACCACTGTTTTCCTTATTTATTCCTTATTTATAATATTGATTAATTTTGCTTTCTCTGCAATGTGGAGAAAATGAGAGCTAAAATGCAGAATTTAAATTGGTATTGCATTATAGCACACTGTAATGCAACTGCACTGGTATGTTGCATTATAAAATAAGAATAAATTTATAAGACTTTACCAAGAATTACTGTATGTGTAGAATACAAAGAATACAAAACACAAAAATTGGTCCAAAAAACCCTCAAGGATGTAGTCACTGGTTCAGCATAATTTCTTACAGCGAAATGATCAAATAATTTAATCTATTAAACATCAAACAGAGAGGACTGTGAGTGGACAGCTATTCAGAACTCTCAAAAGTATTGACAGAATCACCGCTTCAAAATCAGATTTTAAACATTAATCAGAGGACACAAATAATGTCATATAAAACTAAGTGAGTATAAAACTCAACAGTAGGCACTTATGTTTACAAAGAGTTGTAGTTGTCAGGAAAAAGATACCCAGCTTTACAGAATTACTTTTTCTATTCTATTCAATATTACTATTCAAAGTAATGTTTTCTTGTGTGTGAGGTCAGATATATTATTGCTGTCTGGGGAGGGTTACCTTCTCTCCTTTGTCTGGCTGTGGACCTACAGGCCCTGGAAACCCATCTTTACCCTAAAAGGAAGAATGTTACAGTTCAAATAACACCAGCTAGAAAGTTCAGCCTAACAGTTTGTTTTGAAGCACAACATCACGTGTTTCACTGTGACCTTAAAATTATTATTTCATGTCTTTCTTGTTGTTCCTGGGTTTGTATGTGGCATCAGCTATAGAAGATGCAATCATACATTTTTCCAGTAAAAAAGACCTACCTTCTACATTTATACGTGATTAGCAATTTAGCAAATGTGTCTATTAATGGTGTAAATGATCTGTTTCTTCATGACCGTGATATTTAGAACTATATCAGATTGTATTTCTTTTGGCTCATAGTTAATTGATCAAAGGATCTTATCCAGCTGTTTCTTGAAAGAAGCCAAGGTACAGTATTGGCATTGTCAATGTCTTGTTCCACAAAAGCAAAGGAGTTACTTCTTTACCCAAAGGGTTGTGGGAGTCCAGAACAAACTGCCCAGTCATGTTAGTGAAACTGATACTCTGGCTTCTTTCAAAAAAACTGCTGAATGAGATCCTTGGATAAAGCAGGTACCGATAATAATTGGGCCAAATGGCTCCCTCTTGTTCGTGAACGGTCCTGTCTTCCTCTGTTGAAGTTTCGGCGAGGAGAAAGAGGTGGTGGGAGTAACACTCCTTAGGAAAGCGCACTCACAGGGTGCCCTTGTGGTCCTGGAGGGCCTCTCAGACCTGGTAGACCCTTGTCTCCTGGGGACCCGGGAAGGCCCATGTCCCCCCACTGTCCTATATTACCCTGCAAGCCCTGAAAGATGAGAAAGGAAAATGCAAAAAATTAAGTAATAATGATATAATTAAGAATTTATCTTAGCTGAAAAACATAGAGGCTGCTTATGAATGTGTGATCTTGTCGAACTAAAATGTGACCAATAGGGCTGCTGTGATCGTAGCATGTGTTTTATAGTGTCCCACACTCAACTATATTTTTATACACTGAACTGCAATCCAAATACCGATTCACTTGTGTTTTACACAGTGTTCACAGTGTTTTAAAATGCTTGTACAGAAATTAATATTTTCTTGTGACAGCATGCACAGTCATGACAAAATCACATTTCATATTTTTCATTTTAGGGTAGCTGTGGGTACACTGAAAATCTAATTCATTTTCTGTAAAGTGCACTTTGCCCACAGTTGCCCACAGTTAAAAGGAAGAACCAACTTCTGCGCAGTGGGCTGCAGTGATATTAATGAGTTCTCCTGTTCATTTCTCCTGTGGTGTAAATAACTAATCTAATTTGCCTCCCATTACATACAACACTAGAATAAATAATACATGTGCATTTCTAACAATTCAGAAGGAGTATTTTGAATATTGCACCAGCTAGATATTCGACTGGATTATATTTGCCTGGAATATCTCAACACATAGTTTGGATTCATTACTTCCAAACACCTACAATAATATCATAAAGTGTGGTTTTGATTTTTTTTTTAATTAAGAAACTCTGATGATAGTGTATCATGAAGAATGCTGCTTGTTATTTTTTTCTTTCAGCTTTTCTCTCAAAATGCTTTGAAAATCACTTCTCTAAATTACCGATAGAAATTGATTCTCAGATTCTGGGCTCCCATTAAGCCAGAACTGACACAGAACCTGTGAAAAGGTCATTTGTCAATGTCAGACTATATCTGTACCTAAAAATAGACCTGAAAATTACCCACAAAATGTAGACAAAGAAGCTTCACAGATGAAGCTCTTAAAACAGCTGCTTACACCTACTCCATATATTAGTCTTGAAAGTATGTATAAAGGATAGATATCCTCCTTACCCATTAGATGGCAAGCCAACATTTAATTACCATATACCAAACACCCTACTTTCAAAATTAATTTTTTGTACTGTATATCATTTACAACATGGGAATAAATTTAGCATTTATTCCTGCTTTGGAACCGCCTGCTTGGTTATGAATAGTGTGTGGTCTGTCAGAGTTTCCTGCAGCCCCTGCACTGACCTGGGTGACCTCCAGACCACACATGCCAACCACACTGAGATTTGTGCTGGCATATTTATTTTCCCAAAAGAAAAATCCCAAAATAAACGGTGGAAATTTTAAAGTTGACAGGCCTCAGTATTAAGTAAATACAAAGCATTACTCATACCTCTGTTTCTTTATCACCGGCAATTTATTAACCTCTTTTAGACTTCCAAATTACTGCCTGAAAAAGTCATTTGAAATGAATCAAATGGGCCTGAGAGTCACACCTGTGTTCTCCATCTCCTCTGCTTCTTTGTCTTTGTTATATCACTGAGATGTACATGAGCCCAAGTGGTGCTTATAGCTTCACATATACAGCGCTTTGCAAGAATATTCTGTGAAATTACAAAATGATGCATGCACATTTTCTAAACTGAATATATTATTCAAAAGGAATTAGTAAAGGTTTATTGCATGCTGAAAAGAAACACAGCGTTTCGGCTGTGGAGCCTTCTTAGTGTGTGAAGAAGCCTTCACCCAGAGCCTTCTTCACATCTGAAGAACAGTTTCTTTTCTTTTCAGAATGGAATAAACCTTTGCAGCCTGTGCATGCTGACACAGCTACCTACTTGAACTCCTTCATTTTACTCCAAAGCCCAAAAGCTCAAATTGAAAGTTTCTAAAGGTAAATGATAGTAAATGTCAGGAAAAACTAAAAACTAAAAGTTGCAATATACTGATTGCACGAATATTCTGACCCGTGAAATCAAGATTTGGTTAAATCTTTGGAAGCAATTACAGTAACAAGTCTTTTTGCCTTGGTTTGAAGCAGGCTTTCCTCTCAGATTTGCCTGTATAGTAGCTTTGCTCTATTTTCCCATCAGTATTGCTAAACTTCCAGTCCTTGCTAATAAGAAACAGAATTATGACATAATGCTTCCAACATCGTGCAAAGCGATTTACAGGTAATAGGGACTACCCTCCACCACCACCAATGTGCAGTATCCACCTGGATGATGTGACAATGTCTCTATCACTTTACTGGGTGGGGCACTAAGACCCATACACACCACAGGGTGAGCACCCTCTACTAATCCCACTAACACTTCTTTCAGCAGCAAACAACTTTCCCAGGAAGTCCCTCATCCGACTGACCAGGATAACTGGACAGGATGCCAGTTGTGACTTTCAGAATGATATAGTTATGTGTTGTTCTGGCATCATACTTTATGTATTTTTTAGGCCAAAAACTTACAATTCTGACTTGTCTGACCAAAAACTTTTGCCACAAGTTGTTGCATCATGTAGGAACTTTGTTATAAACTCCATGTGGGATTTCAGATGTTTTTTTTTTCTCCAGATTTACACAAGCCCCCTTTGTAGACTAGGATAGTGTTGACCCAAGGACTACTCATCCACTCAACTCTGTAACTCTTTTAAGGTCACCAGTGGCTTCTGTGTGGCATTCTTAACCAGTTTCTTGAAGATACAAACTGATGTAGGCATTCCTTAAAGATCGACTTCAGCATTCTCAATATTTAGAAATATTTATGGTCTTTAAAATGTTCTCATCCTCCTGATCTGTGCCTTTCTACAACTATATTGCTGATGTGTTTTGACAGCTCTTTAATATTCATGGTTGAAATTTTCAAAATTCATATTCATATTCATATCATATTCATATTAATGTTTGCTACAGCAAAGTGTTTGACTGCTTATGCATGACATTTCCATTTTTGTTGAATGTTCTGGTTCTGTATATTGCATAACATTAATTGCAACTTCAAAGTGCAACTTCAATCCCCCCTGCTTTTCCAAGGCACTGTATAAGCGATGTGTGTGTGACTCATTTGCATTTTAGGATTCAGAGTGGACTTCAGATTGTGAAAAACTACACATAAAGAATCTGTGAGTTACAAAGGAAGCTTAATGGGAAATTTCTGTGTCTTATTTCACATTGCCAGTTGACGGTCTCCTCTCAATAAGACGTATAACACTTTCTGATACACAATCTCATCAAGCATCTAATCAACACATAGGTCCACTTGATGTGTGAAATTGAGGATTGGAACCCACTTTGTCATACCCAATTCCAATTGGCCAATTTCTTTTAGATACTAAGGATTCAAATGCAGCTTGCAGGACTTAGAAGACGCTAACAAGTGGCCTCTGAGATCAACTGTCCATTTTATACCCTGGATAAGACAACCCAGGTACAGTTATTCTAAGGAGCTACTGAGCCGCAGTAGTAATCTTCTGGTTCCTTACGGGAGCTCCTTTGTATCCTCTTGGACCAGGCATGCCTTGTTTGCCCTAGAACAGGAAAAGATGACAGAGTAAGAAATCACGCAGCCTCTAAAAATAGTCAAAGAGAAATGAAAACAGCTCTGAAAATTTCCTGGCAAAAAAAAAAACATATGGTGAAAGCTTGTAAAATGATTCAGAAGCAGTTAAATTCTGGATTCAGTGTTCGACAAGTGAGTACGTTGTTCAGTATAAAGGAACAACTGGAAGATTTTCAAAACATGCTGCTCTAGTGCAAACTACCCTCTGATTTGTTCTCACTCAAATACACTCAAAATAATTACTTTATGAGGTTTCTTTTTCCATTCTCCTTTTCATACAAGTATGACCTCTTGCTACTAGAAATACAGCATTATGCCTTAAGGAACATGAAGCAGGGTTTGATGCAATCTCTGCCAACTTGTACGTACATAATAAACACAGTAATACCTTTATTATAAATAACTGGAATTTGCTCAATATGATATGAAAATATATATTAAAAAACAATTATGAGCAGGCTGATTAATGGGATTGATGAAGATGAGTAAATAAAACAATATTCACATGCAATTGAAGCCAGGTACATCTACCATGGATTTGGACTTGATCTACTGCTTCTGTGTCATGATAATGTAACATCTAGATCTATCAGATACTTACTGGGCTACCGGGCTTCCCTTTTGGTCCCTCAGCTCCCCGTTCTCCCTACAGAGACAGTGGGAGATGTGTTATTAAGTCATGTTATTACAAGTAAGTTATTATGTTATTTCACAACACTGAGCTGATGGGGAAAGACTGATATATTAATTCAAACAAACTAGTAGGATATCTGAGTCTGTGTCAGAATATGCTAGAGTCATGTATTTGAGGAAAAATCTCTACAGACCTTTCTCTTACACCCTAACGTAAAGTATAAGGCATGTTTTAAGAATTTCACAATTGCATTGAAACATAGAAGCGTCTTTTTTATTATGCTCTTTTTCTGTCTTTTAAAATATTCAAATTTCCAAGCCATCAAGTAATGTGACAGCACAGCATATCTTAAGGAACAAGTAAAAGTGGCTATTAAAGGTAGAGCTTGCCTAACAATCTTGTTAGAGTCCTTTGAATAAGCAACAACAGGTGGTAGGAATTCAGGGAAACAAGTGTTTGGATTGAGAATTTCTTCATAAAATATTAAATAATATTAAAACATTAAAGATTGTTCTGAAGTTTTTACTTAAGAACCAACTGCCAGATTAATAAAAGTAAAACATATATAGAAAACAGAGGGTATAGATAAGGAGTAAATACATTTAAAAAAGAAACAGATAAAATTCAAGAATTGGCTAAAACCTGATAGTTGATCTGTAATATCCACAGTTGCAGGGTTTTGTGTGTAGGATTAAAAATTTAAAGGCATAATGCAAAATGCGGAGCTAAAAGAGGCTCCTTAAGAATAACACTTAGGGGTTTGTGTTAACATTATCTACATTTTCTAGACAATATGGGGAAACGTAATAATGCCCCATTTAGAATATTGGACACAACTTTTTTGGTCAATATTGTCCATCCAGAAAGGAGCAACCAGATACATTCTTGGACTGCAAGGACTGTTCTACAATGACAGGCTGAAGAAAACAAACCTTTTCAGTCTTGAACAGACATGATTCTGAGATGGCCTGACCCGAGTATCCAAAACCCTCAAAAGTTAATGACGAAGTCAACCTAACAGATTAACTACTAAATGGGCTAAACGGGCCGAATGCCCTCCTCTTGTGTGTAGGCTTTCTTATGTTCTTTCTCAATTCTGCAAGCTAAAAATGAGAATGTGTTACAGAATGCTATTATTATTTATCCACTGGAAGTGGACTATACTTGATGGATGACTCACAATTTCCTTCACTTAAACTCTAAAGGCATCCTACTTGGTAGCTCCAATCACCTACGTCAAGCCCTATCTGTGGATGGGACTGTGCTTGAATTACAATAGAATTTGATGAATGTAGGGGTGATATTTGATCCTAGCTTGACTTTTGACCCTTATGTGCGGAACATTGTAACAACATTATTATTCAATTTCAGAAATATTGCCAGAATACATTCTATGTTGTCTTTGACTGTAGCAGAGAAACTTGATTATTCCAATACCCTACTCTCTGAGCTATCTAAAAAAAAATCTGACATTTATATAGCACTTTTCTGGACACACCACTCAAAACACTTTACAGGTAATGGGGACTCCCCTCCACCGCCTCCAATGTGTACACCCACATGGATGATAATAATAATAATAATAATTGCTTATACTTATATAGCGCTTTTCTGGACACTCCACTCAAAGCGCTTTACAAGTAATGGGGACACCCCTCCACCACCACCAATGTGCAGCATCCACCTGGATGATGCGACGGCAGCCATAGTGCGCCAGAACGCTCACCACACATCAGCTATTAGTGGGGAGGAGAGCAGAGTAATGAAGCCAATTCATAGATGGGGAAACGCCCTGGGATTTTTAATGACCACAGAGAGTCAGGACCTCGGTTTTACGTCTCATCCAAAGGACGGCGCCTTTTTACAGTTTAGTGTCTCCATCACTGTACTGGGGCATTTGGACATACATAGACAGCAGAGTGAGCGCCCCCTACAGGCCCCTCTAATATCCTTTTCAGCAGCAACCTTAGTGTTTCCCGGGAGATCTTCCATCCAGGTACTCACAGGCTCACAACTGCTTAACTTCAGCGGGTTGCCAGTTGTGCATTGCAGGGTGATATGGCTGCTGGCAGAACTCCTATGTGTTCAGAATTTGGCAGCCAGAGTACTGACAAAGTTGTGTTCAAGTAATCACATTATACCTGTCTTGGAATCCTAGCAATGGCTATCTGTCAGTTCTCAAGTTGAATTCACTACCCTTATGCCATAAGGGTCTACATGACTTGACACCTCAGTACCTGTCTGACGTATTGTCTGTCTGCTCCCTGCTTTCCAATCTTTGTTCTGACTTTGTTCTTCTGCAGTATATGTGCCCCAAGCTCATTTATATTCTATGGGTAACAGGGCCTTTCTCTTGCTATGCGCCACAGCTCTGGAATTCAACCCTCAAGGATATGAGAGAGTCACGTACCCTGAGTGCATTTAAGTCGAAACTCAAAACCTATCTTTCGTTGAAGGCTTTTATTTAAGTTTTGTGTGTGTCTGCTCCATTTTTTTAATGACCGTTTTTCTTCACCTCTAACCACTCTCTTATATTTATTGTGTAATTTGCTGTTATTACCTTTGGCCCAGGACTCCCAGGAAACCCAGGAGGACCAGCTTTACCCTTCACACCCTAAAAGGAAACAAAACAAACCACAAGGCTGGATCTAAACAATGTATGTACCAAACCTAAAATAATAGGTACACTAACAACTATAAAAAAAGGACAAGACACCCAACTAACCACCACCACCACCACCACTACTACTACTAATAATGCTGGGGTCCTGGGTTCAGTTTCAGACCTGGGGTGCTATCTGCATGGACCCACTTCATTTGCCCCCATGGATGACTTTTGGAAGACAAAATTAAAAATATGTCACTACTTGAATTAAAGGGGATCCTCATTCAAGAAGCATCAGGGAGCTTTCATGACCAAGCTGGTTTTATACGTCTTTGTTTAAAATGTCATCTGAAGAATAGCACCTCCAGCAGCACAGTATTCCCCAGCACCGTATGAGGGCATAGAGAGGGAAATTATGCCTACTGATCCATCAATGTCGCCTACTGCCGCAAGCTGGATTTGAGCAAGAGGTCTTCCTTCCTGTTACTTACAAGCCTGGTTTACCTTGCCTTGTGAAAGTAGATAAACTCGAACTACAAATTAGTATTACTGCTGCCATTGTAAAAGGCCTGTCAAACAGTATATTTAATTATAGTAAAAAAAATAACAAACCATGATACAGACGAAAGGATAATATGTGGTGTGCTTTAGGTGGATGTTAAGTATCAGTCCACTCAGATATGGAACAAAGCACTACTTAACTATTACTGAGAAGATTCCACTGCCAAAGCTACTTAAAAGCTGTGCCACATGCATTATGTAGGAGGTGTATATTTTTGCAATTTGATTCCCAAAAACTCACTGGGGGCCCTGGCCTCCCTGGTGCACCACGGACCCCTCTTCCTCCAGGATCTCCCTACAGAGAGACAGGTTCAGTTACTCTGGGACATCCTCACAGTCAGTCCCGACGTCATGCAGCTAATCCACTGTACTGGGAATCTACTGGGGTAACTCAAAACAAACACCTGTTTTTTCATGCCTGAGTTCTGTGTGAAAGGCAGGATCTGTTTTGAACGACTCATATTGAGTTGACAGACCAGCAGGTTATAAGAACTTGTGCTGACATACATCATGGATTCAATAATCATGAACTATGAACTACAAATTATTGAGTATCCCGTCCCTTAGGTATATTTATCAATCCAAAACCGATTTGCAGTTTTTTATACATTTACATTGTTATGCTTATAATTACATGAACATGCCCTTGTAGCTTTCTAAATGATTTCTAAACTCCTCTGGTTTCCTCTAGGAATCACCAACATTAGTTTAAATTGATAGCAGAAGGTGTCTCATAGTAACAATAAAATAGCAACGGCAAAACTAAGCCATTTTTTAAAGGCCTAAAATGGTTTGTGTAATATTCATGTTTCTCTTTCATAGTGTACCTACACTGTTTCCAACAGTTCCTTGTTTCCCTGGAGCGCCTGTCTTCCCTGCGATGCCCTAAGAGATGCAGAGAAGTGAAAAGGCTTGTTAGCTTGAGGTCTGAGCTTTGACCTGAACAATAGAACCTACAAGCCTGTGAATTCCATCAGAATCAACAGTGAGTGAAACAGGAGGCAGAAGTGGAAACTACATGGCAGTGCATTTAAAACCAAGAACAGGAGGCACTTCTTTACCAAAAGAGTAAATTGTAAGTTATGTTGTGGAAGTATTAAACAAGTTATCCAGTCTCATTTTTGAAGCTGATGCCTTGGCTTCCTTCTAGAAACAGCTGGATGAGACCCTTGGATCTACTCTATTAACTAAAATGTAACAGCTGATGACCTGATCACCTAAAATGTAACAGCTGATCAGGCCAAGTGGCCTTTCTTTATGTTCTAAGCCTTTCTTTGTAGTTGTCCATATGGTAGAAGTCAACTGGGCAAAGCTTTTGAGGTAGCCAAAATAATAACAGAAAAGCAAAACAGTATAATAAATTAAAATCACCTACTGTATCATACCACTTTAATTTTGTATATACCTCCTCTCACATTTAGGCTGGCTTATACCTATACCCTTGTGAAGCACAGGTGAGTAAATGGGACCACACTTCTTGTCCTCAATAGAGGACACTTGTCAGAGGTGTTAGTCTTATAGTATAGGAGAAAGAGCATCCACTGGAGGAGTGATGAAGCTGCCACTGTCAGCACCTCAACCTCAAAAGTCCAGACATGTGACAGGTGTCAAAATTAAGGATATCTTGTCTGTCTCAGGCCCATCCCAGCTAATTAGGTGCCAGTGCTTGAAATCTCCTGGTCACTTGTGATCACCAGAATGGAAACACTTCATCAAATTAAAGACCTACCTTAGGTCCTTGGGGTCCCAGTTCCCCTCTAATTCCTGGTTCACCAGCAGGACCCTTGAAGAAAGGACAACTAAACCTTTGACATATTTACCTTAAGCTGTAGGTTGTATGTGTATAAACAGCATATGATGTGATAAACAATATATTTATTAACTTATTACAGAATGTTTTTAACCATATATTTTTTATTGACAAAATATCAGAAGACATACTCATAAGAATGAATAATCAATTTTGCTTAATGGAAATCTAGTAAACATGCAATCACTGATAATTGTATTTCAAGGGGAGATATATCACTGTAAAATAAGCACTGAAAACACAAAACCAGTTGATGGGTGACCCATATCAAATCAAGAAAAGCTAAACTTAATACAGTGTGTCTCACTTAGAACACACATGAAAGGTAGCAGGTCTGTTCTATGGGAATCAGTGCGTCTCAAAAGTACAGCGTTACATTTAAGTAATATCATGTGAATAGTTTGTAGATGCATGGATTTCATTTTCAAGACTGAGAGCACATTCAAGAACAGGATGAAAAGTGTCATTTTTCTTTAAGGCATTTTATTATTCTCAAGTTCTACGTTTATCTAGTAAAGCTCCTCAGCTACATTAAAGCTACATATTCCAAAAGGATGAAACTGTAACAGAAAACCTACACAGCAAAACTATTATGGGATTTTGAAAAAATGTCAAGTAAGAAAAGATCCTTACCATGGCTCCATCTGTCCCATCAAAGCCACGATTACCAGGATGACCTTGAAGTCCCTGAATTGTTTTTATAAATAGTGAAAAAATAGCAATCAGAATGAAGAACAAAATGAAATCACTCCTAACTTCCACCCCTTCCATCCCCACCAAAAAATGGCAACCCACTCCTAAAGTAGTGAGAAAAACAAACATTAAATGAATAGATACAAAAACTAAAATAATGATTTAAATAGATAATTGGTGACTCCCATGATCTATTTTTTTAGCACCATAGATACAGGCTGTGGAAAGTTCCAGAAGCAGAAAAACACACTGACACCAAGGGAAAGCACCAGAGGTCAGCCAAAGCTATGCTGTCAGTTTTGTAACAGCCATAGTACCTGCAAACCATATCCGTGCTCGCAATACAGAAAGTTTCAAAGATGAATTATCATTCAGTAAAGGTAACTGTGGTGAACAGGGGATATCATCACAGAACAGGTTTATTTTTTTTTTCCAAAACTTGTGGACCTCCAGTTATCCCCAAATTTGGTTAAAGAATTTCCATCAACACCCTTATTACACAATGTACAAGTCTGGGAATCAGATAAAAATGTCTTATGTGGGATGAAATACTGTACAGTACATCCTCTTAATGAACTTGTAGTGAATCATTTCATGATCAGAACTTTTAGAAGCAAATATCAGACTATTCCTGATGTGTTTCCATTAGATATTACACAATTATTTCTCTATAATACCTCATATGGTGAATTAATAAAATCAGATTTTTTATCTGAAGATAAACTAACTTAATATTTCAGTATAATCTCTCCTAGTTGGTAGTCCATGGCATTAATGTGGACCTCAAGAGTGAACTTGTTCAGTGTTTTTTTTATGTATCTCTATTGGTCATGAAAACTGAGATATACATGCAGGCCAGTAATTAGAAGGAAATTCTATTGGAAACATAAACTTCTTGAAAGCAATGGTTTGATGTTTTAATTAAAGTTTAAACACATCCTGCTGAACCAGCAAAACTAAATTCAGAGAGGGCAAATTTATAAGCATCTTTCCCGAGGAATGAAAGGATGAAGCAAATTCATTTGGAGAAGAAGTCGTTAGCTAAAGCTTTGATGTTTGAGATATTCCTGTAAATTGAAATTTCCCTTGCAGAAACCAATCTGTTTACACATCTTAAACCCTGTAATGACAACACTGCCAAGGATTACATAGACCTTGAGCCAGTGTGACACTTCCTGCCCTTTACAACTAATGATATTGTAGCATGTCAACATAATATTATTTTAGGCAACCTTTCATAAAATATATTAATTTATTACTATACTTGCATTGTATACTTTTTCCTTTGATTGTACAGTAATTTCCATTAGTGTAATAATCTGTAGTCTACTGCAGTACTTTGTTGCACAGCACAGTACTTAAATCTTCAATATAGAAACAAATTTGAATTAATGAATGTTTTCTGAAATCTCTTAAGCAAACAGAAAAATGTATCAAATTAAAAAATATGTACCTTGAGCCCCTTGGGTCCAGGGTTCCCTGGAGGTCCTAGTCTTCCCTGAAAACAAATGCGATGTTTCAAACAAGGTCTTGTACAGGCTGACAACAGGAAACAGCCTTTCATGTCAAACACAGAAGCCAAGATCTGAGATTGCCTTAAAGACGAACCATATTCTTTTCACTTTGAGTTACTAGAGTTTAGGGTTTAGAGAGATGAGAGTTTAATTGCCCATTTTGTCGGGCATTGAAAACAGTTCACTGTTATTTCTCAATGAGGTAGAGAATGAGATGAGTTTCTAATGCAAATCTATTTACACTAAAGTCAAAATTACGTACTGTAAATGAATGATACAAATACATGACAGAGACATTTAGATGAGCTCAGAGCAAATCGACTCAGTGTTTTTTAACCTCTCTTATTGCCAGTGGCATTGAAAACGTTTCAAACTCCACATTGGGATCTTGCCAGACAATTTATCCCAAAAAATTAAAAGTTTAAGTATGCAGGAACCTTGATACCAGGTTCTCCTTGTGATCCTTCTACTCCCAGGTTTCCCCTCTGTCCCTGGAGATATAAAAGGAAATAGTGTCAGGGAAACCAACTTTCCAGCATTCACTGTTCTTCACAGTCACAGATGAAATAGCTCCTGCACATGCTTTTATAATGAACAGGTTTGGTTGCTTCTGGATGATTCAGTTTGGGTTCTGGTCTGTTGGTGACAATCTAGTCTCCCTGGTCAGGTGTGATTGTGTGCTGTACAAAGTCGTAAGTGACAGAGCTAGATTCCACATCTACCATATAATAACAGGAGTGAATATCAGTGAATTGGCATGGTATGACATGTGACCTCGGACCTCACATGAAAATGATGGACCTTCTACATTCCTGTCACTTTGAAGCTCAGATAGGGCTGTGAAGTTTAATAGACAGTGAAAGCTGAAAGTCTCAGTTTCATCTCTGGCCTGAAATGCTCACCCTTGCATTGTTTCAAAATTAAAAGCAAAGTGCTGAGGTAGAAGTTTCAGCCATTGTCATGTTTTTTTTCAAACCAATAGAGGTTTTAAATTCTAAATGAAAAAAGCTTTTCTGGTATCTGTAATATATAGCTGATGGCTAAAAATCATAACGAATATTATCTGATATCTAAAATATAAAGCAACTGAATACCAAACTCTTCTTTGCAGTAAGTGACCTTTGAAACTGAATGATAACTACAATTAATATTTCTGTTCTAGGTATGGCAGTACAGTGGTGCACTGGTTAGCATTGCTGCTCTCAGTGTTGGGGTCCTGCACTCAAATCTAGACCTGGGGTGTTATCTGCTTTGAGTTTATATGTTTTCCCCATGTTTGCTTGGGCTTCCTCTGCATGCTTTGGTTTCTTCCCAAAGTCCAAAGGTATACTGGTAGGTTAACTGGCTTCTGGGGAAACTGCCCTGGTGTGAGCGTGTTTGTGTCTGTACATGCCATGCAATGCCTTTGCTGTGACCCTCAGTTATAAAATTGATGGATGTATATTGCTGGTGTTTATATTTTTTTCCACTAGTCCTACCATAGAGCCAGGCAACCCAGCAAAACCTCCACGACCAGTGCGGCCCTGTTTGGAAACAAACAAAATGCTAAATGAACAAAATCCAGGCCCTTCTGTGTTAAAATGAATAATAATCAAAATTGGAGTTTAAAGTCCTAGTCCTGGAGGGCTGGTGTGTCTGCAGACTCTCAAAGTCTATTTGAAGGAGCAGCAGCATCCGAAGAACTAGGAGAAGATGGTAAATTGTTCTAGTAAGACTAACTGGCTGGTTTAACTTATTAATAGCAGAGTTTGAATGAAAACCAACAGAAACACCAACCCTCCAGGGCCAGCGATGGACCCACTTGCTAAAACCTAAACAGAAGAGGTGACCATGACGAATGTCTGAAATCACTGGAACATGCACTATCAAGCCATCCTCATATTTTCACACAGAAAGACACACAGCACCAAGCATCGGAGACAAGTCAACAAATGTTGGCCCAAGCAGTTCTCACTAATAAAAAACACAAGATCACACGGCGCCTCAAGAAAACCTTGAAGGAGACCCACTTCAAACCCGCTCGTCACCTGCAGCGCTCGGCCAAGAGTCCGCAGCTTTTGTGGAACTCCATGGCATAGGCCAGATCTGAAACAGTTTTCTATAGGGAATAGGGCACAACCTGCACTCTAACTGAAGTAATTTATTGGTGGAGCTAACTAGTAAAAACTTGTAAGGTCAGAGAAAACTATTTTGTTTAAAGCAGAAATGGTTAAACGATAAGAGGGTTTTTCTTAGTAGTTTCCAACAGGGATGTTTCGCCTATTGATCAGCCACAGCAGAAACAAATATGCATGAGTACCTACCTTATTGCCCTTGGCTCCTGGCAATCCTTGCAAACCAGGGAGACCTCTGTCACCCTAAACAAGCAGAATTAAACATACAGTATTGTTGCATAGGTTTGTAGAATATTCCTTTTTACAGTACATCAACCATAACCAAAATACATGGAAGGAAAATTAAAAGGATAATATCTTCCCTTTTATTATCTCAAATTACAGTCAGATATACCCATACCCAGTTCAGATTAATAGGGTCTGTCCTCTATATACTGATATGGAGATGTGCCCATTACTCTTTTGGGAAGATGAACTACCAACACCTTGCTTAATTTTATTTGAGATCTTAAAGGCTTAATTGTTTGGACTGTGAATGTTGCTACGTATACAGTCAGTGAGCAGTTTGGGTTCTCTGTAATCCATACTTGGTTGTGTCTTTCTATGAACACTGCTTTGACCAATGAATTCCCTGGAAAATTAGTCAGTAGCACTGTAGGCAGCTGCTAAACATTAGAGGTTCAAATACTGTTTTTGAAATTTATTAATTGAACTGCACCTCCTTACCTGCAAGTTAATACTGTATGTGTGTAATCAGATTGGTCTCACAATGAGGCTATGACATTGGCCCAACTCTTTCAAGTGCTTACAGGATTATTAAACAGAATAACTGAAGTATCAAAACCACAAAATCATCTAGATTACAAATTATTACTATTACTATAAATTATACTATTATTACTGTATATTTCAGAAATGTGCTATTTTTTTACATTGGGTGACGTAACATCTGCAGAACAATTGGAATCTTACCTTTGGGCCATCTTGTCCAATTTTTCCAGGCTCTCCCATTATCCCTTCATAGCCCTAAGAAAGGACAGACAGTAACACAGTCCTAATAAAACCAAAATACAGCCCAATTAAGTCACATATACAGATTTCTTAGATTTGTCATGATAACTACATACTGTATATAGTGGTTTTCAAATGTTGTTCTGTCACTCACTGCCATGACACTGTAGAGATTAATATTTGTTTATACACAAAAAAAAACAATTAGTTGAGTGTCCTCAGTCCAAGTGCAATAGTATTGGTTCACACATTTTCAAAATAAATACACCTGTCTCAGTAAATCCTCTCGGTTAGATAGTGAATGTCCAGCAAAGATTCAACCATGTACTGAGGCTTTCAAAACAACTTATATAGTTGAGATAAAGTTGAGATAAAGTTGAGATAGTTGAGATAAAGCTGTTAAAAGGCACAGACCAAGAAAATAGCATAAAAAAATAAAAAACATGGTGTAGCTGATCACAAGTAAGTGGATGGTCTGTTATTCAACACAGACAAAGCCTATATTAGACTACCTCCATATAGAGCAGCTGGGCAAGGAGGAAAAGGGTTAGGGATGCAATTGTGAAGTTGACATGGGAAGAAATGGTCCACAAGTCGAAGCTTACCATCTCAGATCAGAAATGGAGTTTGTTACAAAGCATTCAATGATACTGGAAATGTAGCATGATTTGCTTTGTGGTCTGATATGGTACAATTGGAATGAAGAATTCTGGTCTAAATGCAAACATCTGAAGCAAACCCGAAACAACACCCAACGTGATAGTACAGGCAATTTTCAAGAGTAAATGCTGTCTGAGTCTTTTTGAGACTTAAAACTGAGACTCAAATTCACCTTTTAATAGGACAAGGATACAAAGCACAAGGCCAAAAGTACATTGGATTGGTTTATGAATAAGACAGTGAATGTCCCTGAGTGGCCCAGTAAAAACATCTGACAGGAATCCTGTAATGGAAAATTGCGGAAAGACTTGAAAACTGTTACTTATAAGGAGAAAGGTACCATAAAGTACCATAAGAAGTGTATGAATAACTTTGCAGGGCATTGTATATCACATGCAACTAATTGGATTTGTTTGGGATGAACTAATTACTATGATAAATAATCAAAACTATCCTCTTAAACGTTATTGTCTACTTCTAATATTTATATTAAGCAATGCAATCTCTCGGTTTCTGTTACTTATGGATATATATATGGTATGTATTTAAATGAAAACTTTGTAATGGTAAAAAGAGACTTACTCTGGGACCTGGGGGTCCTGGATCACCATGGCGTCCCATTACGCCCGGAAAGCCAGAGGGGCCTCCTCGCCCTCTGTAGCCTTTTTTCCCACGCAGACCTGGGAATCCCTGCTCATTAGCAAAGGAAGCCTTGTGTTAGCCTGGAGCTGAAGTCAACATGGCAGCCAAAAGCACACAACAGTCTGACGAATAAGACAAACTCAACCAGCAAAGCCTGGGATATTGCTTTCTAGTAAGTAAGTTTCATCTGATATGATACCTAAAGAGCAAAAGTAAAAGAACACGCATCTTCAGCAAATTGTTCTGATGTAACAAATTTGCTCAGAACAAAACATTGTACAGCCCAGACCTTTTTGTTCTTAAACAATCGTTCATAGTTTTCAGGTCATACCTACTTAGCAAAGAGCCAATAGATCAAGCAGTTAATTTAATCACATATATAGAACAATAATGAAATTGAAACACCTGTAAGGTCTTTTTATTTTTTAAATTATATTTAGTTTTTTCATTTGATACTTTTTACAATTTTATACAAGCCAACAGGCTCCTGAGAAGTTGCAGAAGTGGTTATTGCACCATGTGCAGGACTAATCTGAAACTGTTCTTTTCTCTTTCGATTGTGAATCACCACCTTGTCCCACCCTATACATCTAGAGGGCACTCCTTTTCTGTCCTGTTCCTAGTTTCCCTGTGTGATACTTGTTCTTCCGGTGTGTCTTGTTGTCTGGGGCTATATATTTCCGGGTCTCCCTTTCCTCCTCGCTTGGCATTGGGATCGGATGTCGTAAGACTAGCCTCACCAGGTTGCCCCAAGTCCGCTGCCTGAGAGCTCTCGTCTCTTTTCCCCGACTCCACCCGGTACCTCAAACCATTCCTGCAGCTACGTATGGGGTCTTCCTGTTCTCCCAGTCTCTCCACAGCTAGCCTTCGGCTTCTGTGATACACCTGGAGACTCATGGTCACAGCTAGCTACCTGCAAGTACCCCAAGCTCAGTCTCATGAGATCTGTGTCAAAGAAATAACCCTGGGCTCAGAGTACCATGTCAGCTTGCGCCATAGGATTGCCAAATGCATTGAAAACACCACAGGGGACAGACCTGTCAATCGGGCAGTTGCCATGACAATAAGCTATAGATGGAAATCAATTCCACATCAACATATGACCTGCCCTGGTGATACTTAGTCAGGGCGCAGTCCAAAATCCAAAACCATGGGATCCATCCAAGACAAGAGAAGAATAAAAACATGAACAGGAACAGGGACAAGGAAGTTACAAATGGAGTGACAGGGCCAGGAGCTCCGAGCCCCGGACTCAGCTGGTCAGGATGCAGTTCGGAAGTCTATGCCTTCGAGTCGCGGACGTAAGGTGACTTGATGCTAGGCGGGCCTCTGGGCGTCCATCTTCCAGTGAAGAGCCCCGAGCTTCAGAGGCACGAGGTTTAAATAATAACGGTGAATCCAGGGACAGGTTTACGTGATAATGAAACTAAAACACAAAAGGGTCGGAGTGCCCTCTAGAGGAGGGATGACAATCGTGACAATGTGGTCAAGTTACATACAACAAGAATATCTCAAAGTCCATACAGGTGGTGCATATAGACAAGAATCCAATACTAAGGAATGTTTAGCCTAGGCAGGTTGTTTGTATGTGAGATTGCTTATGGTCTAATGCATGCCTTCTATACAGGAAACACTAATCCAGAATTAGAGAGTAAAAGACTAAGATGTGACACTTTGTATTTTGAGTCCAAGAAAAGTTCAAACTGTAGTTTCCACATAAAATGCTTGACTTACTGGTTCTCCTTTAAATCCAGGATCTCCTTTCTCCCCCTTTGCTGCTTTAGGTCCCTGTGAGATAGGGACACAGAGACAAACACGTGCACAGCTTCTTGTTACTAAAGAGCCTGGGAATTATTATGGTATTTAGTGATGAAAAGAGAACATTATTGCAACAGAAATGGAATAATGAACACTCCTTAGGTGGGATCAGCAGGATTTTGCCAAGGCAGGCCCTATCAAGTGCTTTAAAGAAATGGCTTTGACTGAGGAGATCACTGAGAGGTGTATCATCACTTTGAGTAGCTCCTCGAGACTGTGGAAACACCCAACTTACAGAGGTCATTCTGGAAACCCCCGTTAAGATCAGATTTTTCCACATTGCTACAGAGTTAAAGTGCTTTTGCTGTGGTAATGCAGCAGAGGTGGACAAGATTCACCCAGACACGCTGAAAACACTGGTCAAAGTTGGGGTGACGTGATGCTTATGGCAGGTACGTGGTCTCTATCTTTATGAAATGGGACAGGAGGGTGTGTTCCAATTCACCTCCGACCCCAGGATAAAGCCAGTGCCAGAGTGCTGGAGAGAAGATGCTGACCATTATCTGCACTTTGGAGTCAAGAAGAACAATGAGGCTTTTGCCTTGGTTGTGGAAACGTTGTCCGGCTCTTTTCTCTTTTTGCAGATATTGAAGGTATTTAAGAGTTTGCCAAACCAGTCTACCCCTTTTGTATCCTTTACTGTCTATATCTGGTTGTAACGCAGTGGCATTTACTGTCTTTTCCTTCCACAATAATTTGTCATTTTGTCAGGGTATTGAAATTTTACAATGGCACAACACTAACAGTACACGTGTGCATACTGTGCCCCAGTAAAACACTAACTCCACCAATATTAACAGTTATTATTAATTAAAAATACCTGTCAACATTACTCCTTTAATCTTTCATATACGTTTTAATAAAAGGGGGAGTAAGTAGCTTCAAAAAAAGCTTTGAGAATCATAAACAAACTGTTTAAATGGTTTCTGAAACAAAGACATTGTCATCTCTAAGAATAACACATTAATCATTGTATAGGATTGTTGCTCCCAACTCTGGCCCTGAAGGGACACTGAGTCTTCTGGTGTTTGCTTCATAAAGGTTGTTAATCACAGGCAAATTGTTTTTAGTTTTCTTTTTGGGGTATATCTGTCATTTGCTTTTCTAATTCAAATAGGATTTGGAATTGGTATGATTTCTGTACCAATTTCTGAGTTTCAGAAGTACCATCATTCGGGAGTGCTCTCTGAAATATAACCAAATGGATCTCTGTAGTCTCATTTCCACCTGGGTCTGTTCCACATAATTGATCAGCTAGTGAGAGCTGTTTAGAAACAACAGCAGGCAAATTGAGTTTTTACGTGTTGATGTTGTTGTTCTTTGAAACAGTACCCTGGAAGTCTGACACACAGGACTGAATGAAAATAATAAAAAAAAGTCTAAACAAGTAATCAAATCAATTAAGTCATCATTACGAACTGGATTTAAAAACAGTGTTACTGCAGGACCAGGGTTGGGAACCACTGGTATAAGATTATTAAGTCCCTTAAAAGAACAAAAATAAAAAGGCGTATTTTATCATCTTTGGGTTGTTCTCTTAATATCTGCTCTGTCCATCATGACTATTGAAGCCTGAAAACCGTCTTCTTTTCCATATATGTGTTGGAAATTATGATGCCATAGCATTTTGGGAACTGTGCTCATCAACAAACAAGTGATAAATTCTCAGTATTACGCTGCAATGTGTAACACGAATCAAGCAGTTGTGATATGAAGTAATTGTTTTAAGAAATCTTACTGGATCACCTGGGGGTCCAGTCCTTCCTGGGTTGCCAGTGGGGCCCTGAAAGAGAGCGAGGTGTGATGGTGAATGTGGTCTGAACTAACACAATCCGTAAACATACACCAGGTTACACTGCGTCCGTTTGAGTTTCACTCACACTGCGTTTGTACTTGTGGACAAAAAAAGTTTTTAAATGAGAAGAGGCCACTTTAACCATCTACCCTGTTTTGTAGTTAGTAGATGATTTATCCAGCCATCTCTTGAATGATTCCAGGGTATCAGCTCCAACAAGATGGAGGAGTAAACTGTTCCAGGCACGTGTAACCCTTGGTGTAAAGAAGTGCCTCTTGTTCTCAGTTTTAAATGCACTACCATGCACTTTATACTTGTTTCCTCTAGTTTGTGTTTCACAAACTAGAAATAGTCAATAGTCAATAGTCAAACTAGTAATTATCAAATGTTATCAATTTTTTGTCCACAAATAAATTGCTCACACTCATCCTATTTGTTTGTAGAGAGATTAAGCATA